GCGTTTCCTCACAGCGATAATAATCTTGACTGTGGCAAGGAGTTATTTATCTGTTAATCATTGTCGTCACCTGAGGGGACCAATCTGGTTCTTGCACAATGATTTGCTCCAGGGTGCAGCCTCTCCATCATAGAGAATTGTTCTCATCTTAGGATGCTCTGGCCTGCCTGGAAGGCCTTGTTGATCTTGGAAGGCAATTTGCCTGCCTGTTTAGGTAATGACTCTTTGTGCCTTCAGCCGGAAGAGGGGGTTGAAATAGCGTGGATAGCTTGGATATGGCTGGGATTTGGGTGAACAACAGTTAACCGTTATCATGCCATGATGGCGTTAAGTGGGGGAGGAGCCCAAAGGAGACAGGCTTTCATCTTGCTGCTCATTACTTTGTAGGCCCAAATGGGAGATGGCAATGCAGCTTAACTTCACTCTATTTTTTTTTTAAAAAAGTCGCTCCAAGATAACTTTTTAAATTAGTCTCAGTTTCTCTCTCCCGACCTCTCAAATCTCCTTGGTGGCTCATGAGGTGACTCAAGATATTCTTTCTTGATCTTTATAATGAGCTGCCCTCTCTAGGCTTCCTCTTTCAGGTTCTAGGCCAGTGAGAGAGATCCCATGTTTCAGCCAGTGCTCAATGGCTTTGGTAGGTCATGTGTCATGCCAGAGAATACAGTGTGTGCATCAGAGGCTTTTCAGGGGCCTAGAGCTGAGTCAGTCCTGTCAGGATGGCACAGGCTGGGCGGGCAGGATGGCTAACCAGAGGAAGCTGGCCATTCTTCCCTGAATCAGTGCACAGCGCGTGAAGCCGGTGGCGGAGGATCGAGTGCTGTGGGGATGGGACTTAGGCTTGCAGCCATCCTGGGTTCTGGTCTGCAGGCGAGCAGATGTAGATCAGTTAAACGGAATGCCGTGCACGACGACCTTTGTGCTGCTGGTTAGGACTGTCATTACACAGCACAGAAGCATTTTTCACAGCTACCTCCAGGCGGACTAGACCTAGGACTGAGGAAGGAAGGAAGGAGCAGATGTACTAAAGAACAGAAGGGCCTTAATGGCTTTGTTGAGGTTGCTATGGGAATGACTAACCGTGAATTCGAGTTCTTTGAAGTTAGCCATCTATATGGCAGAGAGGGAGTCTAAAGGAAGGTCTGCTTTCCTTCTCCTCTTCCTTGTTTTTAAAGATAGAGGGGGGGAGGGAGGAAGGGAGAAGGGAAGGAGGGGGAGAGCAGGGGCGGGGTGGGGGGATTGAGAGGACTTAGCACAAGATTAGACTTCCAGGCTTCTCTGTCTGGAGGTGACCTGTGAGACCATTTTGGCTTGTGGATCTCAAATCAGAGTGCGAATTGTCTGGAAATGTTGTTAAAACACTTATCTGGGCTGTATCCCACGGTCTGGTTTAGGAGTCTAGACAGGTCCACATATTTGTGTTTCTCATATATTCTCCAGGGATTTGAGGCAAATGCTGGATTTTACCAGTAGTGTGGACCACACCTTTTAAAACACTGACCCCAGGCAACTTCCTTTCCCTTCAGTTTATGGAAGGGGGAGCTGAATGTAGCAGGGATTGACCCAGGGTTTCTGAGTCAGCAGAGGAGGTGGGTCCAGGACCAGCTCTTCTGACTGCCTCCCTGCCCGTTCTGTCCTGTGTTCACCTCTTCCTCTGCCCCTCCCTCCCTTCCTCCCTCCCTCCCTCCCTCCCTCCCTCCCTCCCTCCCTCCCCCCTTCTTCCCTGTCTCTTTTCCTCCTTCCCTCTTCTTCCTGCAAAGAAATAGAGCTCCAGATTTGATATTGCCAGGTCGCAGAGCAGGATCAGGGAAGAACCAACCCTTTGCTATGCAGGCTGGCATTTTCTCCACATCCCAAGGGATGTTTTCTGGGGAATTAAGGGGCTTTCCACCAGTGCCAGAGAACTGAGAAAGTACGTGGTCAGTTTTTTCTGTTAGAAACATAGGCAACACACACAAGTCTCTTGATGACTTAGAATTTATTGACTAACAGGATTTGGTGGTTTTGGTGCCAGATAACCTGCTTTCTTTGATAACTCTGGTTGAAGAAACCAGATGTTGTTAAATAGTAACACTAACTCTCAGATTACATGCGCGCGCGCGTGTGTGTGTGTGTGTGTGTGTGTGTGTGTGTGTGTGTAAGTTACAGGGTAACTGTGGAAGGTAAAGCAAGGAGGAGTTTCATAAAGACCTGAGATGCCCAAACTGGGTGTTGTACAAGGGGGAGCGGGCCGCATCCTGCCACCAGGCTCCCGGCAGCCCTGCTTTTTGGCTCCCGGCCGCCTGGCTATCTTAACCCCCTGAAATAATCACACAGAGAATGTATTAATTAAATCACTGCCTGGCCATTAGCTCTAGCCTCTTATTGGCTAACTCTCACATATTAGTTTAACCCATTTCCATTAATGTGTATCGCCACTTGACTGTGGCTTACCAACATGAGTCTAACCAGCGTCCGTCTTGGGCAGGAGAATCTTGGCATCTGCCCATCTGTCCTTCTTCCTAGCATCCTGTTTTGCCTACTCCACCTACCTAAGTTCTGCCCCATCAAAAGGCCAAGGCAGTCTCTTTATTCAACCAATGAAAGCAACACACAAACAGAAGAACCTCCTACACCAGCTGGGAACCTGATGGTGACAAAAGTGTCCGCGTTGACAGTAGACTGCACTTGAGCTGGAGAAGCTGCTGAGTCTGTGAGTCTGCTTAGGTCACAGGTCTGAGCGACAGAGCCGAGTCCAGCTGCACAGGTGAAAGGGTGTGATTCAGATGAGGGACAAGGGGGCAGGTCTAGACAATGGGTGACCAGGAACAGGTGGGTAGGATGCACCGACTGTGGGGTCTGAGCTGAGCCGAATGTGTCCATTCTTGACACACAGTGATGAATCAGAGCCAGGTTGGTAGGAGCCATCACCATATAGTGTTGGGAGCTCATCTCTTTATCAGGTCGAGGTGAAGGACTTACACCATTCCTTGGAGTGCTGGTATGTTTAATAAGTTCTCTCTCTGTGTAGCCCTGGCTGTCCTGGAACTCACTCTGTAGACCAGGCTGGCCTTGAACTCAGAGATTCACCTGCCTCTACTTCCCAAGTGCTGAGATTAAAAGTGTGTGCTATCATACCCAGAGTTTAATAAGTTCTCGGACATAGTGTTCTTAACATGATTTTAATACACATATGTGTTCCAAACTTCCCAGTTTACCCTGATAAATTTATATAGTGTCAATCTTCCTATTCATAGGAGTAAATATAAATCTGTGCCATGTGGGTGGTGGCAGATTACACTATTCATGTGTCTACCCTATCCTCAAAATGGGTCCAAAAACTGTTTGTAAAATGAAATCACTCAGGGCAAGGGGCAGTCTGGAAAGTCACCCTCTTGCACAATATGGAATAACTTGGAGGAGGGCATAGGCTGATTTCAACCAAGTGATCTCGGCTGAAGCACAGAATAGGAAAAAGCCTGCGTCGTTAGGCAGAGCAATTCCTGAGCCCCGTGAGAGTAGGCTCAGGGGGAGGCAAATGGCTCGGATTTGGGAAAGCAAGATACCTGCAGTTGATGTTGAAGGGGAAAACCTTTTCCTCTACTTAGAATTTGTACCTGGGGGACTGTGAATTAAACTGAAAGCAGGTGTGTTCATAGTGGGGAAAGCACACGGGCTTTTATTATTTTTCTCTGTGATGCTGGGGATCAAAATGAAGGCCTTGCCTACGTGAGATGAGTACTTTGCTGTTGAGCTACACATAGCCCTTTTTCATTAACATTTTATGTGCATGAGATTTCAGAAAATGAGTGAAACCCAAAGAAGTTCTTAGATCCCAGGGTGCATATAAGTATGTATATATACATATATATTACAGACAAAGGAGTTGGGATTTCAAGGCTTGCTATATAGTAGGGAAGTTGGTAGGAAATATATGGGAAATCATGGTGAGAAAGAGCTCGGGAGGTCTGTTTATGCAAACCTGCTTTGCTGTCAACTCCCCAACTCCAGTACTCTTCCGGGTGTGCGAATGAAGAGCACAACTTCACAGAGGGAAACTGTGTGCTACTTTTCTGCTTGTTGGTTGAAAGCGCCTCCCAGACAGGAGGTAGCTCCTCCCCTGAGGTTTCCTCTTTCCGGGATTGTCAAGCTGACAGCTGAAGCAAACTGTGACAGTGGGGAAAACAGGAATTCTTCCTGCATCTTTTGATCCTCCTTGCCCTCATCTCAAGATAGTCTCTGTGCCAAAGTGGCAAATTACAGGATGTCGTACTCTGAATCCTTTCACTGGTCCAGGCTTGCAAATGTCGTGGCTGGCAGACCTCCAAGGTATTTGTCATAGGGTAGGTACCTCTGTACACGACAGGGTGAGAGTCAAGGTGATGCTCAGCCAGCCCAAAGGAAGCTGCACTTACTCTATGCACTAATTGAAGAATCCAGTGAAATTAAGTTGCAAGTGATTGTATTTATTTTTTATTAAAAAGCTCACTTTAATTGTGTGGTATATTTTAGAGTCTAGTACTTAATGAAGCTGCTTAATGAAGAATTCTATTTTGGCTTTTAGAAAATATCTATGTTAACCAGGCCCATGTAAAGAATTGCTATTTTTACCACTAGGCAATTACTAAAGAACCATTATCTACTTTATCCCAATTATGAGATGCATAACTTGGAAGAAATAAAGAGCTCTGTGGTGCTGAACTTGCTAACACAAATCTACAAAGTGGCAGCGAGTGCCGTGGCTTCTGTCTGGAGCCCAGAGCTTGAGTTAAAGTTCCCTGCCTCTTGATGCTGGAGAACCTGCAGGGGATCTTCCCACTGAGATGTCCTAGGAAGGAAGAGATGAAGTCCTTGTATTCCTGACACTCAGTCACCAAATGTGGTCACCCTGGGAAGGACCAGGTCTTGAGGGAAGCAGATCCTGAGTGAGAGACAGAGAGATGACATCTGGAGGCTGTCTGCTGGTCACAGCCCACAGCTGGGCAGCAAGCCCTTCCCTAGGGATGGGCTTCATGACTCACCTTCACATCTTTTTCACAGGTGCTCATAGGAATGTCTCCTCTTCGTCGTGAACTGACTCCCTGAAAACGTATGTTCTCTAACTCCATCTGTCTTCTCTTGCACCGCTTCCTCAAGCCGGTCCTTTCCAGCAGCCCTGAGAGCTTATCTCCACTCGGCAGGGGCCTAGAGTTGGGTGCCATGTTTCAGGGCCTCTCTTTAGAGGCCGTATCAGGAAGCATCATTACACGTTACCCACAACTTCCCAGAAAGAGAAACAGCTAGGCTGTCTTCTGCAGAGTGAAACAACGCAGATGCTGGGGTGTGTAGCCCATGCCTGCCAGCTGCTACCAACAATAAGAGAGAAAGTGGGAGATGCATTGCTAACAGATTTCCAAGAACACTATGGGGAAGTCTGAAAAGCCATTTGGGCTTATTTATTCTTCCTTTGTTATATTTCTGAGAGATAGAGGCTGACAGATCGTAAGTGGGGCAGGGATTTAATAATGTTCAGAAGGTTAGTGTTGGGGGCATCAGTGTACGGATCGCTGAGTTTTTGGAACACAGTAGCTTTTAAAAGGCCCAGATATTGAGAAACTACTCTTAAAGAAAGGCTGAGGGCTAGAGCCGTAGCTCATGGTTAGACTGTTTGCTCAGCATGCATGAGGCCCTGGACTGATCCCCAGCACTATCCAAGAATAGAATTTGAAGGTGGACAAGCATTGGGAAACCTGATCATGGACAGGTGTAAAGTCTCCATGTGAGCTGTGAGTGACTTCCTGGTGTGGCTGGCTGTTCTAGCATTGATGGAGGTGTCAGAGTCTGGAGGGGTCCCAGTCTATATCCACTGGAGATCTTCATGAATTCTGAAGTGGCAGAGAGGGAAAGAGTGTGTGTTGTGTGGCCCTACCATACGGAAGAGCATAGCTCTCTGTTGACTCTGCATGAACTCTCTCATGTCTGGTGGCCCTAGAAAACACCATCTATGGACACTAACCAAGAAATGCTTTGCACAGTGACCTCTTGTGGACTAGCTTTCTCTATGGGAAGACCCAGAAAGTCCTGGAGAAGTGGGAACTTCATTTTGGGCCCTACTCCAAGCTTTAGTCATTCTGTAGAAGAAGCCAGTAGAAAGCAGGACACTGATTTAGTCCCAAGTCTGGAGACACGAGCCTGGAATCCTGAAGTGGCCAGTATGGAAAATGAGTAGTGCAGGCTTTCATGTGCTAAGAGGTGATTCTCCTGGCGGTGCCTCTGCTGTTTGCGAGAACTGCAGCTGGAGAGAGCAAGGGACTGGAACGCACACAAAGAAAAACACACATGCATATGAAAATAAGAAGGATCTTAAGGAAGAAAGGTTTCTTTAGGATCAGTTTAAGAGGGAATAGGTCCATCACCAGGAAGGAAGGAGGGATGGTGGGATGTGAGGGTGTGATCACACTGCACATAGGAAAGGAAGGCGGGATGGTGGGACCTGAGGGTGTGGTCACACCGTGCACAGAATCGAGAAGGAGAAATGAAGGAATGCTGGCAGCCCACACGCTTTCTCCTTTCTATTCAGTCAGGGACCACACCGTGTGATGATGCTGACCACATTCACCGTGTCTACCTCTCCCTACTTCATCACACAAGCCCAGAGGTCTTTCTCTTAAATGACTGAAAATCTGCCCAGGTTGGCCCTGGAGGTTAACCACCATAGTCTGCTGTTGATTTTTCTCTAATTATAGAAGACACAGGGACAGACAGTGAATCCCGTGGAGCCAGGGCTTTAGAGAATGCTGTGGGAATAAGCCAGCATCCCGTTTCTGTCACCTAGGTGTACCGATCGTAACGACATGTGGAAGCTTTGTCCTGGGGCTGTGTCTAGTCCAAGCGGAGATGACTTGTAAGTATCAGTTTTCAATGGCTTCCTACGAAATCGTTTTATATTGGATACGTGTTGAGATACTATTTTGGATATACTGGGTGAAACGATTAAACTTAAAAATTATAATTTGCATTTACGACGATATAGAATACGCTATTAAAATTATTCTGACCTGCCCCCTCTCATTCTTCAAAACCGTGCTAAGCAGAAGTTAAAATATCTGCATAGTTAGTGTGGTCTTCTCTTGCACTACTGCAGACTCGCCTGGGCCTAGAATGCCTTTCCTCTGTTTATTTTTAACTTCTGCTTTTTTCGTTTACATCATTGTTCCTGGCGGGGACTGGGCAGGTCACATGCTTTGGACCTTGAAGAAGTAATTCAGAGCACGAGAGTTATTTCACACTCAGGTGAGCATGGTCATGACGGGTACTCATGGGGCACTTGGCGGTTTAACGCTAATCAAGAAGACCCCTGGAGAGTCATGCTTCATCCGGCTAACAAATATTTATGTAGTATCTTCATGATTGGCTATTATGTCATGCTTTGGGCCCATGCCTGAGAAGAAAGAAATAGTGGATGGCCTTGGGGAGCCTAGAGTCTCACAGGGCGTTGGACATTGTGATGGTTGGTCTCCTTTATTAGCTTGATTGGACCACAGAGTTTTCGCTTGGAGATTTAAAGTGTGTCTGTAGGAGAGGATTAGTGCTCTGGGCTGGCTGTAAACTGTGTCCCATCAGATAATGACTTTGAGCACTTGGTCCCCAGCAGGCTGTTGTGGAGCCCTTAGGAGGTGGGGATTAGCTCCAGGAAGTGGATCTCTGTGGGACAGGACTTGAGGGCTATAGCTCAGTTCCAACGGTGATTGATTTCTCCCTCTGTTTCATGGTCCACAGATCTGCGAGGGGGCCCAGCAGCATGCCCCTGCCACTATGGCTTTGCCATGCCTTCCTGGTCATGATGGATTGTTTCCCAATCAGTTTGGGATCTGGAATAAATCATTCCTGACTGGGGAGACGGCTCAGTGTGTAAGATATGAGGGCCTCAGTTCAAATTCCCAGAATCCATGTACAAAGCCAGGCATGGTCATGTGTGCCAGAAATTCCAGTATTGTGTGTGTGTAGACAGGATGCTAGTCTACTCTAGGTTCAGTGAGAGACCCTGTTTCAAGGGAAAAAGGTATAGAATGACAGTGCGGAACAGCTGATGTCCTACTCTGGCTTCTTTGCATGCCTGTGCAGACATACATGTGCACATAGCTCCCCTCATATTTTTTTTAAAAGTTGATTTTGTTCTGTATTTGGTCACAGTAGTGAGAAAAATAGCAAGTATAAAGCTTCCAAAGTTTGAGTGGAGAGACTATGCAAAGCAGGCTGCCCTTTCCAATGCAGTGGCCACACCGCTCAGTTGAAGACCTGGAGGAATCAGAAGTCAGGGGGAGAGGGGGTTTCAGGCCTGACTGCTCAGACTGCAATGTTGATTTTCTGCCCTGGCTTCCAGCTGCACCTCGGCTTTTCTGGGTCTCCAGTTTTCCTATTGCACATCTTGGGGCTTCTCTGCCTCATAGGCATGTGAGCCAATCTCTTTTAGTCAATCAGCTGCCATCCGTGTGTGTGTGTGTGTGTGTGTGTGCATGTGTGTGACTTGAACTTGTCCATATTGAGTTTCAAGGTCTGAGTTGATGAGGACGACTGGCCAGGTCTCTTCCTCTTCATGCGGTAGCCTTTAGCTGCCCAGCTGGACCTCCTTCCACCCAGGCACTAAATTCCCCAGGTTTCCAGAGGACCTAGCTGGTCATTTCCAGTCTCGCCATCAAGGAGGCAGTTACCAGGAGACCATACCTCTGCATCAGTCAAAGTCCATGAAGAACTAAGTGGTGGGTTTAAGACAACTGTAGGAGTGCTGCTGGGATGTGCCCTCTCACCACCACTCTTTGATATAGTCCTGGAATTAATAATAGCAGCAGCCCCGGAGGATGAGGAGATGGCCGTGCAGATAGGTGGTGTGCGCATCAATAACTCGCATTTTGCCGATGATATAGCACCACTATTGAAAGTCCAAATGAGCTGCAGGCCATGATAAACAGAGTGGTGGAAACAAGTGGAAACCTTGGTATGTATGTAAACATGGGGAAGACTGAGAACAACACATGGGAAAGGCGCACAACGATTTTAACATTGTAATAAAGAATCAGAGCCTCAAGCAAACAGTCAGCTTTGTCTCTCTGGGAGGAAGCCTCAGTTCAAAGGAGGAACTGTTTCAGACGTCAAGAGGTGGACAGGGACAGCGAGGGCTGCATTCCAGGCACTAGGAAAGGTTTGGTCAGTGAGAGACACAACGACAACAACACAATTACAAGTACACAAGACACTTGTCTCGAGCTGCCTTCTTCACAACTCTGAAACCTGGACAATGAAAGGCTCCTCAGAACAGCGGCTGAGTGTGTTTGAGATGCCATGTCTCAGGAGGATTCTGGGTGTCACATGAATAGACAGGCTGTGCAACAGTGACATTAAGAAACATCTCCATCTACAGAGGGAAGTAAACTACAGGATACGGCAAGGGCGCTTGAGATACTTGGCCATATCATGAGAATGAATGACGGCAGATACCCGAACATAGCACTGCTTGGAGGAGTGCAAGGGGTAAGGCCCCAAAATGCTGGATAGACGGCATAAGGAAGACTGTGGAACCTGGGTTTGACAATAACACAAGCATCTAGGACTGCCCAGGATAGCAACAACTGGAGAACCACCATAAATGGGCTGCTCACGCATGCTCAAGCATTGCCAGGGCATAAATGATATGATGAAAATAATGTGCATGTGTATGCATGTATGGGTGTGTGCCTGTGTGTGTGTGTGGTGACAGAGACGCTCCATTTATGGCTGAGCACTAATCTCTCATTCTGAACACTTTGACCAGCTATGTCTCTCTGCACTGACTTCCGCCCACTGCAAAAAAGTGAAGCACAAACTTTTAGTTTATGATGGAGCTGAATTGAAATATTTTGCTTTTGAGGTCACAGCTCAGCAAGTTTGGCCTAACTCAAGGTCAAGAAGGCAATGCCTGCAGTTTTGCTCTCCGTGGAGGCCTGTAGTCCACAACTACACTTTTGTGTGTGTATATATATAGTCACTTTTGTATATGATGTGAGCAGAAGGCCCGGAATCATTGGGGAGATATTGAGTCTCCCCAATTGTAGTCACCAAAAAGACTACCTCTCCCCTGCTGAATTGTCCTGATTCTTTGGTCAAAAATCAGTTGATCATAATACAAATGAAGGCTCATTTCGAACTCAGTTGGGCTTCATTTATTGCTGTGTTGGCTGGTAGCAGG